ATCATGATCCGTTTAGTAGTAGGTCTTAGCATAACCCACAAGATCAACGCCTGTACTGTATCTGGTCTTTCCATAGCTCTCAACTGTTTGAAATTGAAATGGCTCAGCAGCCGCAACTATCGTCAGGTGTCCCTCATGTGATGGGGATCAAACTAACAAAACAACCGCAGGTAGCAGCTAGTTCTACAGCACATTTGATAAGGAAGTTTGGGCCAACAGTGTCTAAGCGTGAATGTGTTTAGAGAATTCGATCTTTGTATATACTCCTATTTTCTACCTCTTTTTGAGAATTTCTTGAAGATCTTTGTGCTGAGGTTTTTGGGCCATCTTTGATTGATCTTTAGGTGCTACGACGGCTTAGGAATACATGTTGCCACTTTCTCTGGAAGATTTCCCACGAGCACCTAAAAATCCTTATTTTGAGGTTTATTGCGAAACCCCATTTCTAGAGATGGCTTTTAATATTCTCGTTCAAGTTTTAAACTTTTTGACTTGATCTTTTGGGGATAGCTTCTAAATGGGTTATACAAGGTGTGTGTGCAAAGTTTTAGAATCTTTGGAGCTCGTTTGAATTGATTTTGAATTTTTTTAGAAGATTCTGCTAGAAACAGCAGAAACCAGCCTAGGCTGGTTTTTCATCTTACTCTGATTGAGCTCTGTTGTGGTGGTGGTGTTCTTTCTGTTGTTATAAAATCCTCTACCAAATTTCATGACTTTTGGAGGTCGTTTGATTAGATTTGACATTTGTTCGTCCGAGTGCTGAATTCTGAACATCAGCCCAGTCCGGTTTTTGAAACCAAAACCAAGTCAGGCCGTTGTTTGCTGTGTTTTCAATCTTGCTTGTTTTGACCTCCCTTTGCTTCCGCATGTTTCTAGCCTAGTTTCTAAGATCCGTAGATCTGCTGTAACTACACGACTTTGGCTAGTTGTGTTTGAGATAATGTTCGTGGATGGTACTAGGATATAGACCTTTGTGTCATTCTTGTGGTGAGAATTTTAAGACTCCCACTTACTTCCCTCTGGTCACCATTTCTATTATTCAATAGGCACTAACATGTTTTCAGGGTAGTTAAATTATTAATGTGTTATTATCAGCGAGTAGTCCAATGGAATATCTATTAGTATTAAAAAAATTAAATATGACACATTTTGCAGACAAATGATGGGGCTTGGACCGCACCAGCAAAGAGGTACAACATAATGAGCAGAATTTTCCAAACTGAGACATACGAGATTGCCTCTCATCTTCTATGATTACATTCATAATGCCTCAAACGAAAAGTTGCGATTTGATAAATAAACATGAAAAAGTCGGAGAAAAGTGATGCATCGAATTTTCACAAAGTTTTTAACATTAACAAAAATATCAGAGAGCAATCAAGAAAATAATAAAACAGACACAAGACACAGACAATCAATTTATACAACGATCCAGCTGAGTACCTTCTCAAGCACAAAGGATCTTGTTCAAGACCAATACCATCACCGACCCAAAAGAAGATAAATGAGGGCCTATCAGCTATGACCTGTTGAGTCAAATTAATATAATAATTCAAGGTAGAGAACAACCTCAATTTTCCGATTCATAATCTCTTTAGGAAATACTCTATATATGATCTTCTCTGATACCAGGAGCGCGATGAACATATTCCTCCCATGGAGGATCCCCAAGGATAACATCAAACTTTGTGCCAAAAAATCTGGGAAAGCATATGTTCCTTGAGATCACACTTTTAGTATACATTCAGCCTGTTCGCTTGCTTGTAAACGATCGTAAATTTTCAGCTGAGAACAGTGTTTTTCTCTCACACCAAACCAGCCAGCAGTAAATAATCTACGATACGATACGGCCTCCCGAACAGGCTGATTGGTGCCGAAGCTGACTTAGAAACTGTCTCATCTTTCCTCTGTATTAGTTCCCTCTCGTCCTAGGATAATCCTCCACTACACTTGTAAGCTCTAATTCTGGAATGAAATTCTGAGGTCGCATGCCAGTGTCCACGAAACTCTGCGAGTAACCATTCTCTTCACCCCGCAGGTCCACTCTTCCTCTGTGGCATATCCAGCCTCCAGGTACTACTTTTTAACAAGGCTCCGTTCGACTTGCTGAATCTTGGCTGAAACTGGCTGAAAATACTGTTCCGATTTAATTGTTGTGAGAGAAAAACACTGTTCCGGCTGAAAAAACAAGCCGAACAAGTCGAATATGGGATAAGGCGAACGGGGTCTATCCATTGGACGATTGGATTAAAACCTAATACATCCGTAGGACCTCTTGCTTCAGCTCCCATGCTAGGAGCAAGCCCAGGTCAGGAGTGTTCCAGCCCAAACAAGAGGCCTTGGAAAAGGTGAGAGTGAAGCATGTTCGGGAAATGGTGGAGGCAGCAACGTCTATAGATGGAAAAAGTCCACATTACCTCTCTCAACTTTTTTGAAAATCTGTTTTTCCTCTCTGAACTCTAAAACGGGGTAAACCATGTGCCTAGACTTTTAAAACCATTCATTTTACCTCCCTAACCGGTTATAAACGGTTTTCAAAGGCGGTTTTGTATTTTTCTTTTTTATTTATTTCGGTTGAATCTTTGAAAAATAATAATAAATCACAATAAAATCATAAAATAAAAAATTCAATTTTATTGGACTCCACATGAGTAGATCTACATAGTGAACATATAATATGGTATTCTTTAGTACAAATTTTTTGTTGTAGCTTTAGATCTATGCTTTTCTATAATTAATTCATAGTTGCAGTTTCTATAGTTCAATTGTGGTGAAATTTTTATGATAGGCTAATTATTATATAGTTAAATTGTAGTAAAAATTTCGTTGTCATTGGATCATGTATAACTTAGTTATAAATTTATAAATACTTTTTAACAAGCTTACACCTAAATAAATCTGCTAAGTTATACATGATCTAATGAGTATAAAATTTTTAATACAGTTCAAGCATACAATAATGAACCCACTGTAAAAATTTCACGACAATTGGACCATATAAATTGTAGCTATAAATTAATTATAGAAAAACATAGATCCAAAACTACAAAAAAAATTTATACTAAAGCATACCATATTATATATTTACTATGTAGATCTACTTATATGGAGTCCAATAAAATTAGATTTTCCATTTTATGTTTTTTATGATTTATTATGATTTTTCAAAGATTGAGCCAAAATAAATAAAAAAGAAAAACACAAAACCGCCTTTAAAAACCGCTTATAACCAGCTTAGGAAGGTAAAATGAACCGTTTTAAAAGTTTAGGTAAAGTTCAGGGAGAAAAAGCGGACTGTCGCAAAAATTGATGGGAGGTAATGTGGACTTTCCTCTATAGATCATAGCATAGAATAAAGATAGGAAAACATCCATTTTACCTCCCTGAACTATCTATGAAGTTTAGTTTTCCTCCTTAAACTTGAAAACCAGGTAAAGCACCTCCCTCGACTTTTAAAACTGTTTATTTTACCTTCTTGGTTCCGGTTATGGGTGGTTTTCAAAGGCGGGTTTGTCTTTTTATTTATTTATTTTGGCTAAATTTTTGAAAAATTATAATAAATCATAGAAAAATCATAAAATAAAAAATCTAATTTTTTTTGGACTCCACGTGAGTAGGTCTATGACAGTGAATATATAATTTGGTATGATTTAGTACAAATTTTTTGCTATAGCTTTAGATTTATGCTTTTCTGTAATTAATTCAAAGCTGCAGTTTCTATAGTCTAATTGTGATGAATTTTTTATGATGGGCTAACTATTATATGATTGAACTGTAGTAAAAATTTCATACTCATTGGATCATGTATAACGGAGTTATAGATTTATTTAGTTTTGTGCTTGTTAAATAGTTTAAAAATAGTTAAAAGTGTGTAACAATAGAAACGAGTGTGAAATTTTTAATATAGTTAAAGCATACAATAATTAGACCACCATAAAAATTTCACCACAGTTGGACAATAAAAACTACAGCTATAAATTAATTATAGAAAAACATACCATATTATATGTTTATTGTGTACATCTACTCATGTGGAGTCCAAAAAATTGAATTTTTATTTTATATTTTTTCTACGATTTACTCTGATTTTTCAAATATTTAGCCAAAATAAATAAAAAAGAAAAGACAAAACCGTATTTGAAAACCACCTATAAGCGGGTTAGGGAGGTAAAATGAGCGGTTTTAAAAGTTGAGAGAATTGGTTTACCCGGTTTTCAAAGGAGGAAAACTAAACTTTGAAGACAGTAGTTCATGAGGTAAAATAGACTTTTTTTCATAGAGATAACCAGAGACTGGAAATTGAACGTGACATACAAATACAAATGGGCCACAACAACAGATGTAATTGAGTCCACAGTACAGAAACGGCAACCAACTAACAGTGGATGAAAACAGAAATATCCGTCACACGGATGATGGATAGAAATTCCGTTTTTTTTCCCTGGTCTGGCGCAGGAAAAGAAATCCGGCCGGAGCAGTCCTAATCGGCCAGACTAAAGAAAAAAAATGAAGGGTACCAGTGTGAACGGAATCCCCTAAAAAAACAAGTGTGAACGGAATCCTTGCCAATATGTTGGGAGCCAAGCAACCCACATCAACATCAGATCAGTGCTATGGTGCCCACAAAAGAAAATGCCAATCATACAGCGGTTGGTTTGAGGCCTGATAGACATTCCCAAAATACCCTTCCGTTGCTTTAACAGGCATCCATCGAGTCCACAGCAACATCCAATGGAGGAAGCCACAACCTTGTTTTTGCCTTTCCTTGAAACCAAAGCACATATCAACTGCAAATCCTGACGAGTGGGAGTGTGGGGGCATGAAAGAGGTACGACAAATTCAATCAACCAAATGAAGGAAACAACATTGGATAACATACAAGGTACACTTATTTACATGACATCCAGAGTTCTTTTTTTTTAGTTTTTCAGTTTTTGTTTAGTAGCAATTTCTGCAATGAGCATTGTATTGACGAGCTGACTGCACGTTTCCAACTCAAACTAAGGATCAGGATTGCCAAGTATAGCTTCATCCCCAGAGTCATGTTCCTCCTCACTAAGCTCTTCGTCGCTGGATTTGTCTTCCGGAGTGATGCCAGCGTCCTCTGGTTTGGCATACTTTTCACAATATTCTGCAGAAACATGGGAGAGAAAGTTGGCACCTTAGTGTCAATATGGCACAAACCTATTTGGCCAATGATGAACAAAGTAGTGCTCGAAGATATGCAATACTAAAATGCAATAGAAAGAAATTTTGCTTTATTGCCTCATTGGTGTTCTGAAACTGGGTGCATGGTGCCATCAAACAAAAGAAACCCTGTGTTCATGACACCAAACCACCCTATCACTAGAAGTCTATGTCAACATACAGATAAAGGTATAACGCCAGGAATATAAAAATCAATCACCTACTAATAACCCAATCGGTGTCAGAAGATACATAGTGCAAGTTAACTAATTCAAGCAAGTGAACAATTACAAATTCAGTACTTATCTTAGCAGGTGAACTTTATATTGAACAGCAGTTATTATAGTGCTATGCAACTGGCAGCAATTAAATAAATCATGGGTGGTAGCCTTTTCATCAAAAACGTGTCAAGGCATGGTCGCGAAAAAAAAAAAGTGGTAGCCTTTTCAATAGTTAGGAAGTATAACCTTTGTTTCAGTTTCAAAATGTATCTATAGCATCCAAACAAGCAAACAGAGACTTCATCAACTGGATTAGGCAGAAAATGGGAGTACATGATACTAGACTGGTTAGGGAAGTTATCAGAGTTTGCATCCACATATTCATCTCCCCTAGCCACTCTTTAAAAGATAAATGGAAGCTAAATCTCTACTGGTGCATATGAACCTAGATATACCAGTATCTGGGATGTCAAATAAGAAACACACGCATCCCATGTCTTGATTTCCACCCATCTTGTGGAGATCCCACCACCCCACAAATTGTTTGATTTTTTATCTTCACAATCATTATCATGGCATGCCAGGTTAAAGCAGAACCACTCAATTCCTGCTATCTGTAAAGGTGGTTTTTTATCTTCAGAAATCTATAATGCCAGGCCACTTCAAACCAGAGCCAGGTTAAAGCAGATTCTCTAATTCCAGGCGCATGTATTGATGTATAAGTACATACAAGTTTTAGGAGGTTTCATCTGCAACAACGGGCTTAGCATTTTGTGATGCCTCTTACTCACTTTGGTCAAACCACTTCAATGCGGGAACAAAGAATTGAGAGGAAAGATGGAAATCGGGCACAACAAGACTTGAGAGCAAAGCAATTTGACTAGGATTTGGTAGAAATGTAGAACTGGTAGAAGAAAAATAATAGGATTATATAAGTTGGAGATTTGCATTATATTAAGGGACATAATTTTAGTAGAACGTTTGAAGTTGCAAGCACAGATTCTTCAGATAGTGCAATGCTTGCCCTCTTATGTTCGAGTCAAGTAACTGAGTAACTGTTATTGTTTGTGCTCTTATGTTTTCTCAAACTTAGTAATTGGTAGTATCTTGTTTTAATAGTATAACTAAGCAATGTTAGATTTTGGAGAGCTTGGTAGATAATTAGGTCAGGTGCAAGTGCAACTACGATTCATTGATTGTGTTGTAGTGTAACTTGAACATGATAGGTCGAAGAGAATTAATGTAAGAAAGCTAAGTTATGGGGAAAAAAAGATCAGAACTTTTCTCATTGGTTTGGTGCACAACGAGCCTGGTTGAAAGAGAACATTCTAGTGTGGGTTACACTCAATAAGTAGGCAAAAGATGTGGTGGAAACCACCTACTAGGTAGAAACATGGAAACCGAAACCAATTCAAAAAACGTATTTCGGTCGTTCAAAAGATTTTGAAACTTGGCACATCCACAGTGCATACAAATATGTATTCACATGCAATAAGTATTTCATGGTTGCAATGCATATGACAGAAAAGAATGAATCTGCAGTAGAACATTATGGCCAGGCAGACTGGAGGTGATGTTTGAATAAAACAATATCTTACAACTATAGACTATCTACTGAAAACAATCAGAAGATTTTAATGGACCACGGTACCTTTCACTTTCTGTTCATAAGCAGAGCGATCACGCATCATCAGTGCTGCAGCCTCCCCATTTAATGGGTCAGAAGGATTCGGATACAATAAAAGCTGCGGAAGGAATACTTCAAAAACATTTACTAGATCTGCAAAAAATAGGAATGTGGAAAAAGATCGAGCTCAGATTATAGATTCCATAAGAGCAGTAAATGCTCATAGCAACAATGGAAGGGAAGCCACTATCTCTCACCAAACATTGGGCTCCATGTCTGGTTGATGACATCCAAACAGACAGAGCCAGACCTGCATTTTGCGGCCGAACAGAGCAGGTAAAGAAATGTTAGTTCCATGAGCTTGAATTAAAATTAAAATAACAAAAGTAGTTCAAGACCATAATGCTCACATCTCATCGACATTTGGGTGATAAATCTTGTTGATGAAGCCGATGGAGGGGGATTTGTAAGGATATGCATCAGGCAGTTCTACCCTAACCTTCCAGACACCGCCTTGGTAGATACCTACCAAATTGAGTACGAATTCATTAGGCAAAATCCCGTGATAGACTCTGAAAGGAAAGATGCTTCAGGTCAACTGAGCAACCAATCGAGGATGAAGCTAAACAGACAAGAATATCTGAACACGATCAACAGGTGAGATTGGCAGTTTAGTTTTCCTGAAACTCAACTTCCCCCACTACATCTAGATCAGAAACAGGAGCGTGGATCATCAGCCCGGAAGGCAGAGAGAGAAAGGAGAAACCGGGATTCGGCGCGAGGGTTATTACTTTCGGTCGGCCCCTTAAATTCGACGAAGAATTCCTGCATCCCGTCGTTCACCATCTCCACCTTGTAGTCGCTCATCATCCTGCGACGCCAAGAAACCAAGAAAGCCGGCAAGAACGACCAGATCAAAAAAAACAAGCAGAACATGTCAGGGAAAATTGGAAGACACACCGAGGGGGTCCAGGATCCTCACAGCTTCATGAGGTCCATCTCGCGGCGCTTGCTCGGGGACGACATCTTGGAAAGCGGGGAAACAAGAACAGCAGCACCAGCAGAAGGGCGGAACCTCCTCTCCTCTCCGCTCCGCTCCTCGTCTTTGGGGAGTTGGGATAAGAAGAAGGAAGGGATTGCGCAGCCTGTAGCCTTTGACGGTGCGTCCGCGTCGTCGTACGTCCTCCCCCTGCACCCTTTTTGCTCGGGGAGGAGGGATTGTGCTGCGTGAGGAGGAGGCAAACTGGAGTTAGCGGCGGGTGGTGGTTTGTTAATGGAGACGCGGCGAGATCTGGCGCCGGTTAATTTGCGTCTGGTTTCCTCTCGTTGTTACTGTGAAGGGTAGGACTGGGCCGGCCAAAACCACCGCCTGCTTTGCTTTGGCGGCAGTGGTGGTATGCGAGAGACGTGTGCTCGCAGCTTTTCACGGCTGCCGACGCGGGCCCGTGGCCGCCCACCATGGGAGGACGCCTTTCACGGGGACCTCTTGGCAGTACACATAGGTCCCTCTTAGGTGTGCTCGGAGCGCGCTGCACGTGCATTTTCGTCGATAATGTGCCGTATATCGTCCGAGAAAATCATGCTTATTAATATTTGGAACGTAGACATTTTTTTTTATATTATTGAGGAAGAAAAATATTCATCTTCGGAGCAGGATGCAAAATTGTAAAAGGCTCTTAGTGTGCGCACGTCCGAATATCCACGCATGCACTCCATTTTACGCATCTCATGCAGAGGTCCGTGTCGCCTCAAACGTCACCAGCATCAAGAAGAAGATGAGGGACAATGCCCACATGCGCCTCTGGTTCAGATGCCTAGTCGGCGTCGGGAGAAGGAGGAGACACCGAGACGAGGCAAAAGAATGCGATGAGGGAGATGCAACACCCGATCTACTTTTGAAATAGCCATATGCAACATTTGCAACATACATCTGAATACAAATTAAACACTTGAAACATGCATCTGAAACCTTTACAAAAAAAATACTTAAAAAACACTTGTAAAACATATGCAACATCTAAATAAAATACTTGTAACATATGTGTAAACACATATGCAACATCCAAATAAACACACTTGCAACACACGTCCGAAAAAATAGATGAAACATTGAGAACAAAAGCTTACAACATATATGTACAACCATTGCAACATATGCAACATCCTAATCTACTTTTGCAACATCCATATGAAACACTTGCAACTTACCTATGAAACATCTGAAACACTTGAAACATAGACTTGCAACATGCTCTTTCAGCGCAACATCTCCTTGCTGCTTGCAAATGAAGGCTCGTCGACGCGTGGAATTCACCGGTGTAGAGCTCGCCACTCCGGTGGAGAAGGCCACAACAGGTCTGGTGAAGAAGGCCACGGCGGCGAGGTGCAGTGGTGAGGAAGGAAGACTGCCACGTTTGGGCGTAGTAGAGATGTCGCCCGGTAGAGCGGAGGCGCGATGGAGAGGGAGGTGCTATGGAGAGCGTGGTCACCGAGGCGGCGCGGCGTAGCACGATTGTGGAGCGCTGTCGCGGCGCTGCAGTGAAGTAAGTTTTTTTTTAAAATGGTTGCGTGGTGAATGGATAAGTAGATAAGAAGCGGTCATTGGGCCAGAGTCATGGACAAGCAACGGAACGTTCGGACGGACGAACACCCGCTTTTGAGAATTCGGAATTCGGCTGCTTGTTGGAGAGAAAAACATCGTATCGTGGATTATTCTTCTTTGGGACAATTTGGTGGCCAGGACAAAAACGGAACGTTCAGATAAAAAATGCCCGATCGCTTTTGAGAATTCCGGAATTATAATACTTGTAAGCTGTTTGGAGCGCAATAAATTTGTTTTACAATGTGTGGAATCTATCCTATATACTCCTAATCCTGTATACCAAGACCCCTCTCACAAAATACGGTAGACCAACAGCTCCCTGACACAGCCCACTGTTCCCAGAACAGTGACCCAACCAGCACCGTCGGATGGGGACCCGACCATCGGCTGCCATGCACGTCGCCACCCTCGCTCTCTCCCGAGCCTTCTCGCTTCCACCGGCAACGGAAAAAAAAAAAAAGAGTCCATCTATCCAACGATCATATATTTTATACAGTTTTAATATATAAAATTTTTTACATCATAGAATTAAGATTCAACAGCCTCTATCCTCATTCTACCTCCAGCTTTTTTCTAGCTCCAGATAGTCACAAAATCACAGATCACAACAAACAATTTTTTCCTATAGAAGAACAAATCAAAATTTTTTATATACAAAGGCAAATCACAAATCACACACTAAAAAGCAAGATCCGAGCGAACAGCCTAGAGCCCACACACGAACACACACGAACACGTACATGTGTTTTGGATCCGCTGCTAATCACACCCGTCCACACACGAACACGAACACGAACAGCCGAGCGATCGACACGCGCGAGGTGAAAAAAAAGAGTGAGAAAATCTATGTATTTTTTTTTTCTAAAACACACCTGTGTTGTATGGCATTTGTGAAAAAGACGTCTTGTCCTCTAAGTCTCCAGCACCGCCGCGACGCCGCTGGCGTTGTGCCCTCCCTCCCCACGCCGTCCTCTGCAACCTCCCCTCCCCTCCCCGCTCACTCACCGCCCCTGCCAGCGCCTCCCCCCGCCCTTCCCGTCCTCCTTGCGCCGCCGCGCCTTCTCCCCCGCTGCCCCGACGTGGCGTGACGGCACATCGGCGCGGCCGCCCCCGCCGCGGTCCGCCCGAAGGCCAATGCGAGTGGCAGCGGCGCCCGAGGGCATGGAAGCGGAGGCGCCACCCTGGCCAACGACGTCGCGTGGACGACAATGGCAGGAGATCGATGACTGCGGCCGACGGCGACCGACGATGCCCCGGTCTTCCTCCCCTCCATACCCAGATGTGCCGCTCTCTCATCAATCTCGCTCTAGCAAGGCATGGAGTGCAGCGGGCCGCGGCGTGCGGCGGCCCACGCGTCACGTCGCCTCCGCCGGGCGGCCCCGACCACGTCGCTCAAGTACGCCTGGCTTCCTGCACCACCTTGGCCCGGGCGCCGATTCAGCTGGTGCGCCTCACCGCCTCCGTGCCTATGCTCCTGTTCCTGTGCGTGTCCTTCATACGACCGTACTCTGCTATTTCCATGCAGCTATGGTGCTTGACTTAATGCCTTTGAGGATGCTGCGTTTGTGACCGTATGCATCTTTGCCAATTGCAGTTGCTTCAGGTTCCTGATTTGGTAACTGCTGCTTTTTTTTTGTTTAGTACATGCAGGCTCTTTATTGATTTTTCTAATTCATGTTGGATCTGGTTTTCGTGTTACCAATGCAAATTCAATTCAAATACAGGCATATAAAATATGGAACCACCAAATACTTACATCAACCTACAAGATGCCTTAGACATGAATGTTCAAAGTCCTTTTGTCTTCTTTCTTGCAATTTCTCTCGACACTGATCCGGTGGGTCTGCTTATCTTTTCCAAATGATGTATTTTTCAAGGTTTTAAATAGCCGGCTAAACTATTAAAACATGTTATAGCCGACTATAGCGGACTATAGCGGCAGTTAAGGGCTAACATATACATGAAAAAACTTAACTAAATCCTTCCCAAACAGCTATAATCGGAGATAGCGAAGGCTATAGCCGGAGATTTAAAACCTTGGTATTTTTGCCCAGAGTTCTTTTAATCTTTTTACTAATTTATTATAATTGACGTAAGGTGTGGCTGAAAATATTTGTACCTTCTTCTTCTCATTGTTCTTATGTAATAAAGGATATAAAATAACAGGTACCTATATATTTTCATTGCCCAATATTAATGTTGTTGTTCTTGAACCATTGTTGTTTGAGTAACTACAGACAATAAAACTTAACATTGCATATGGGACGGAGCCCCAGCAAATGCCTAACCCCCGCGGCGTAACGCCGCGGGTTAGAAAATTATTAATGTCAAAGCAGAATGCAAATTGTAATGATTCTTTTGATACAACCAAGGTAAATTCCATCGAATAATGGTAACGGATAGCTCTATTAAACATCAATGTTTGTCATTAAAACGTACCGTATCAGAAAAATGATTAAACCTTAAAAAACTACTTCCTCGTTCTAAATTCTAAATTATTAGTTGTTTTTAATTGTTTTAGATATACTGGTTCATTGACTGTGCTAACGCTACGGTACAAATCAAATAACCAAAAGGTATCAATCGAAGGCAACGGGATTCCATACCAAGCATCATATTATGAAATCAGACTCTAAATGTATTTCTAAGCATTCATATTTTCAATCTAAGGCAATACCATAAAGAAAAAAAAGTTAAAATGTTGGAACAATACATAAATCTCACCATGGGATATTCCGACCTGACATGAACAAATTATGCAAGTGTGAAACAGAAAACATACACAATAGATTACCACTTCTTAGGGGACTAAACATAGCCCAACAAACATAGCTTATCAGGAAAGGAACAAATGAAACTATCGACTTGCAAAACTATTCCCAACGGAGTTAACAAAGTAGGAAATAAGTAATCACCTCCTCCTAGTCTGCGGTGCTAGATGACATGGATGATAACATCAGGCCAAGAATCAATAGAGGTGCAAGAAAATTCTGCAGCCATTTCATAGCATTCTTTTGGAAATTTCTGATGAGGAGATCACTCCTTAATGGATGTACCCTCTGATCCTCCAACCATTATGCAAGGTCCAATAACCTGAACTCGAATGCGACCATTAAATTTAGAGGTGAGCTCGTTTTTAAACGATCCTTTTCATAGTTTTGAAAATAGATTTCTACCTAATGATGTTATCTTACTTAGGAACATTGGATTCATAACGGCGACCGTTCAATGACAGATTGATTTAAAGTAAAACCCAAACCCAAATATGGGTGGCGGCTATTAATTATATAGTCTAAAAGCGGCGTCCAAGGACCCCCTATTCACGTCCCTAGGTGTCCCAATGTGTTGTAAGACCCAACAGCCCAAAAGACAGCGACGCAGCACCCTGAAAGATTCTAGACATCCACTTGTTTTGATGATTCTTGTTGATTCTGAAGGAATTTTGATCTAGGATCAATTTCATTGGTTAGATTATGAAATTACCTTTCCATTGATAGGTGGAGCATCGAGAACGGAGTCTGTATAAGTGCGGGACATCTGTTTTACTACAGGCTGCTTCTGAAGTCCGAGATGGACTCGAACTTGATATGGATTGAGCCTCCAACTTAACTTGGAGGTCCATACTAGCCTCCTAAGGTGGTGGCCAAGGAGGAAGATGTCCAAGTGCTTCCCTGGTGTGTTCTCCATATATTGTGCTTGTAAGAATAGGTCACTAACAATCACTCATGTAGTTTTCATCCATGTTGATGCCAACATTGTCTTTTGTAGGGCCCTCATCTTCTAGATTAATACCAATAATGTTGTCTTATGTGGAACCCTCATCTTTTGGACTAATGATAGTTGGATCCTCCCAACTTGTCTAAATCTCTTGGAGTGCTTGTGTTACTCTTTAAAAAATTATTCATGGACCTTCGCTTTGATTTTATTAACTCGTTTTCTCTTTCTCCTTTTCTCACTCCGTGAAATTTAGAGAAATAATTAGTTTGTAAAAGTAATATAATAAGACAATAGCAACTTGAATAATGAGTTAATGACTAATGAGTTCCAGTCTTACAATTACACGATTAGTCTTCACACAATTTGTTAGAAAATTCATGAATCACGAATGCGGGATGCTGCGATGACAATTGGCGATCTGCTCTTCACTTCAGCCGAGTTGATCACCATGCAGACGTCTAAGTTTCCATTCCTTCCATTGGTGCCTTGGTTGTTGGCCGTTGCATGTTGGTCGAGTTGGGGCCTGGCAGCGTTGTGGTGACTCAGAAGTCAGAACTGGTGGGCAGCAGGTGACGACACAAGGTTAAGGCGTTGAGGACTCGCGGTCAAAAGAAGAAGTTGAATTGTTGCTCAGTCACTGTGCTCTGTGTCGAAGCTGAATCATTGTTGTGCTACTTGTGTGTTGCATCCTGGGGGGGAGGGGAGAGGCGGGGGCTTGTATCTAAACCCGGTAGTGAGATTGATGTTGTCTTTGGCGGTTGATGTCTAGAGATAGCTGCAAAACATGGGTTGTCGCTAGGGTGAAAATGGTCAGAAACGGTATTACAAAACGATCAATAAAGGATTTTTCTATATTTATGAAATTGTTGAATACAAAAAATGGCTGTGAAACCAGTTGAAAATAACCGATTTTTGTGTTTGGCTACATTTGAAAATGGTAAAAAATGGTATCATAATATAGAAAAAAGAAAGGAGATCTTTTACAATGGTTGAGAAAGTACCTTGGTACCTCTAGGTACTTTCATTTTTTCTATTTTGAGCTAAACTAATTGATAAACATTATTTATTAAATATAATTTGTGATGTTGAGGGTATTTTCGTAACTTTGCCGTCCACTTCGCCATGCAAGGACGATGAGGCGTAGCATCCTGCCGCATCGTGTCCCGCTGACGGTTCCGATGGTGAGGGGGGAGGTGGCAACACGTGGGTGCGCTCGTCGTTCGGCAGTATCCTGCCGCCATCTTATGGAGCAGCTTGTCATCTTCCTCATGCTCGTGGTCAACGCCGCCGTCAGGGTCTGGCAAGAGGGCGAGAGGCCAACATGGAAGGCGCGCTCGATGCGCTGTAGCCTGCAGCCGATTCGGTCCCACCGCGCTGCCATGCTGCGAGACGCCGCCTTGCTCCCCACATACGCTCCCGGTCTGCCGGTTCGGGACCTCGTCCCGGGCGACGACGTCCAGCTCCGCATCGGGGACAGGATGCTCGCATCCGTGTCACGAGGCTCCTCAAGTTGACGCGGCCAAGCTGCAGTTGGCGGTTGCAGTGCCACGGCGTCAAGTGGCGGCTCCAACAGGCAGCAGCCCGCTAGCAGCTCTTCGCGTGCGAGGTCGCTGCGACCTCCCTGCCGTCCTTGCCGGTGAACTAGAGCGTATTGGTGAGCACGCAGGACGCCTCGAAGCGGAGCAGATCATGGAGGTGCGGCATGCTGGTGTGCCCCCAGCCCGCGAACTGCCTTCGAGCAAAGGGGAGAAAGAATTGGACTGAGATGTGAGCGATGGGTTCACACAGGGATGGGATGGAAAATTCCATCGTTACCCTTCAACGAAGATGCTAAAATTTCATAACCGAAAAATTAAAAAAATAATAAATAAATTTGGTCCCACATATTTTGGTACTTACCCCACCAAATTTTGGTACTGTCCCCACCTATTAAGTACCTCTAGGTACTTTCACATTGGTATCTCCTATTTTTACACCGTCCGATCTCGTCGAATGGATGGCTCATGTTTTTTTCAACCATTGTAAAATTTGTCAAAAGAAAATGGTGATTTGTCCCGTTCATTTTCACCCCTAATTATTTGTCGCTGATGGTTGGTGCCATAACCCGACAGTGGTAGCCCATGATACTGAAGATTCTACACCTCCTGCAGTACTGGCCGGTTTTTGTAGTAGTGTATGGAGAGTAAAATGCACACGAACATAGATATGGCTAAAAATTTGTAATTAAGAACAAATATGGTCAGAATTTCCAGTTGGCAGCAATACTTAGGCTTTGTTTGGTAAGTTCCACTACTCAGATGAAGCCCCAAAACCAAACTAGCTTCTCTACTGGGGTGGTGCGTATTGTGAGGAGAGGGATGGAGGGATTCTTACAGTAGTGTAGCTATAGTATCCATAGAGAACCAAAGCCATGCTAAATAAGGCCTTATCTTCATCTGTTGCCTTGCTTCAACAAGACACTATACCATCCTTCATTGTAAACATATCGATATCAAGTTTTTCTTGATGTAATATGTGTATTTCACAACCTTGGGAGAAAGCATGAACCAAAAAGTAATTAAACATTGCATTCATCCAAGAAAGTCATATACTCCCCCCGTTCCAAATTATAAGTCGCTTTGACTTTTTTGGTACATCCATTTTGCTATACATCTAGATATAATAATATGTCTAGATACATAGCAAAATGGATAAACAAAAAAGTCAAAGCGACTTATAATTTGGAATGGAGGGAGTAGAAGTGAATCCTTCTTCGAGGTAGCCTAAATGTCAACACAACGGCATTAGCATTCGAGCAACAAAGCGGTAACAAACCACCAGCACGGCTATTCACATAAAAGGTAATTAGGTCCCAACAGAAGTCTACCATTACCTATCACCAATTTTGTGAGTACAGCCCTAACAATATAATATCATTTGAGTTCAACATGAAGTAGCTGATCTGGAGCTACCGATGCACGATAGGCAATAATCACCTATCAGAAATTCAGAATCAAACAGAGCCTCCTAAGATCTCCTCCGCTTCCTGGAAGAACTAGCTGACTTGGAGCGGCTCCGCTTCCTGGAAGAACCAGAACACATTATACGTTGACGAATGTATAGGAAACTAGGCTCTATGGAATCGTCATCACTATCAGGATTTTGAGCCAGGCGGTTCTGGTAGGCCCGTCGCTAGACCTAGAAAACATTGTGGTAATAGCTCACAAGGCCTTCTCTGCCTTTGTCATGCAAGACGGCAAGCAACTTGTCCCAGAACTTGTTCGTAGATGAAGGCAAGCTATCCTGGATAGTGGTGTTGAATTTCCTCTCCTCGTCCTTTGTCCATGTTAGTGCTAAATCTTCCCCGATCCTATGAAACCCCATTTCAATGTATGCTGAGCCCAGCTCATGCTTCAGTTTGATCTTTTTTCCTGCCACATGAAACCTGACACAATCAATGGAACCTAGGGACTCACAGTTGCAGTCATCTTGCCTCCCTTTTCCAATGGAAGCACCATCAGGATCTTCAGTACTTCCTGGAAGCAGAATAGGTTCTCCAAGAAACCTCAGTGTGCGTGGATCATCATCATAAGGCGATGAAGGCTTCCCAGTCCATTCTGGAATGTCTGCTTGGCCACAAGGACGAGGTGGAATTCCACTCTGCATGAACAAGGAGTATAATGTGTTAGTGTTATAGGCCAGCACAAATTGGCACTTACGCATGACAACAACAAGATTACATAAAAGATAAAGATATTTCAGCCACATATGAAAAGCAGTCGGGTAACTGCAAGCACATATGACAAGCAACGCATATGTGGGTAGTCTATAAGCAGAACTGCAACAGAAGCTCAAGTAGCCAGACATACAACAAGGACAGTTAACTATTTATACAAGCCAACTGAAGTCCACACGGTATAAATCTAGTATATAGTGACAATATACCAGAAGCATATGGGCAAGTTTGTTTCAACTTATAATCTGATCTGCGGCTGCTCCACCGCGAGAATCAAAATAATCCCACCAAACACCGTTTAATAATCATCGATTGTTTTCACCGCACGAGACACATCCACCGCAAAAATGAACTAGGACTCGCGTTTCCCGTGCCGCAGGCGGGAGGCCGCGGCGGTACCAATTCCGCACCGCGCGGACTCCCCGCCGTGGTCCCAAACATGCCCTATAATACTTGGCATAGTACAGAATAAAACAAACCAACCAGATCATTAGGCATCGCCATCCTGTTACCACAGGAAGGATTGAAGTGCCTCAAAATGGCAGAAAATAAATAAATGCACAATTCGCCAACAATAGGATCTAGAATCTAGCAAACAGCCAGTAAAAGGTAATTGAAATGTACCCCCATTTCAGCTCAACCTCAATTGAAATGTGTATAGTGTGTCTAATTAACCACTTATATCACGAAAAAAATCCAAATTTTAAATGCAATGTAGTGATGACACATCCCTAGACAAACAACCATGTTGTTTAGTCTAGTCTTCTCCTTTGTTACCTAAAAAATGCATGTGTCAGTTGTATTTAGCAATAATAGTACACTAATATTGATGTTTTAAAAAGTGTAGAGGAAGTGTTCGCACACGAACACTACTCCTGGTGTCAATTTTGACCATGAACAGGAGGCATAGTGCTGAAGCATTTTGTTATACCACCCTGAAACCATGTAGCTGAAGGAACATCGGAACATGCTAAAGACGTTAGCAAATAATACAGAGTTAACAAATAAATTTTAGATAACAAAGTTATTTATATTTTCCTAGTGTTGAACTGAGAGTTCTCGATGGCTAGGAAATCTAACAAATTGACTGTACCATCACATCACAATGTTTGCTGTGGTGGCCATGCAGGAGACTGTAGTACAACAACTACATTACTTGTTTGAGGCCAAAATGCTAACAGTAAAAACTTACTTTTGGCTAGTAAACCATAATAATTTGACTTACATGTGCAAAGAAAAGGTTTGCACAGTTCAACTAGATTCATCTCTTGAAACATATTAAAAAAAAGCAGACATGGACCTAACAGAACTAATGCAGGTTCTAACACCACATCGTATTTCTAGCATAGTTTTTAAGGCGGCAAGGCGAGATGTGGCGAGCCACTCATTCGAGTCGACTAGGCAACGCCTAGGCGACCATAAGGCGAGGCAAGGCGACGCCTTACCATCCCAAGAATTAGAAAAATAGCAGCAGGGAATAGGCAAGAAAAAGAAAAAAAGGAAAAAGAAAAACCAAAAAAAGGCAAATGTAAAGAGAAGTGCTTGGCCCAGCCCAATAGGCAACCCAAGAGGCAGCCCAAGAGTGCGTCCTTATCTTCTCAGGTCATCTCTCATCTCACGGACACAGGTGCAGCGCCGCCGCACGCATCCCTCATCACGTAGGCGCAAGCGCAACACTGTCGTATCTCCTGCAGATGCAGCGCCGCCGGATCCCCCTCCTCCAGGCAGGCGCAGCGCCGGCGCATCTATCGCCGCCGCATCTCCTCCCTCATGGCTCACGCAGGAACAGCGCTGCCCTCCCTCCTTCACGCTGCTCTTGGCTGTGCGCTCAGCCTGCCCTCCGCTCCTTCCCTACCTCTTGCTGCTGCTCCCTCAGATCCCCATCTCCATCAACCGCCGCCTCCGCCGCAGATGACCCAGGTGGCACCAAATTTGATGGGGACGAGCGAGGAGGTAGCTGCGTGGCTTCTCCCTTTCGATTTCCTCTGCTTTTGGCTAGGCGTCGGGGATGCCTTACTCCCTGCGAGCGCCTGGACGCCTAGGCGACGACTTAAAAACTATGATTTCTAGTACTTTTTTATTTCCATAAAATGCAACATGATTTTTGGAATGTTAACAAAGTTACCATAGTTACAATCTTGGATCCAGGGGCACTAATGGATAAACAAGTGAGCATCCCTAAACGATTAAAGAATCATGAACTTGTATTTTTTATTTCAAAAGATGCAAACACAAACTTGATATAATCCATTGTCGTCATGCACTATATCTTTGAATTCATATGTCGAGAAAATACTCTAAAGAGAAATAACTTTACATCTATGATTGCCCTTTTCTCTATTGTCACCTCTATGAATTCTATAGTTTTTGAAAGGTTAGCGAAGTTAACAAAGTGTAAAGTTTGTAACATTAACCCAATGCATCAACATGGATGCACGAACAGGCATGCATAGACAATCGGAGGAAAACAACTAGATCATGGGTTTGTGCTCAACTGTTGCAAACAAACATGAGTGATGAAGGTTGGTCATTTGACAAGCCTTGTATCCTAGAGTCAAAAATAGCATATGAGATTTATATTGGTTCAAGTGCCGGGAGGTACCCTAGTCCCCTTTGCGAGCTCCCCTACCCGAACAAGAGCACTTTCTTGGTGTTACCAATGTGACCGTTATATATTATGTCTCAATATTAGTTGCCCTAATAAGAGGGTTACGTAGGGTATTTGTAGACCTTGGAGGAGGCCATGTAAAGATGTTGATATCCTAGGGTTGGAAAATTTGACTGAAGGTTTAATGAGGCTAAATTTGAGAAACAAAGTTATTAATATCATACGCTTGGTCCGGTTCACTCGTTATGTTAACGTGTCACATTGTGTGCCTTGGGATTTCTTTGTTAACTTTTTCTTCAAAGTCTAAAGGCATCCCAAAGGTTGGGATCCTATGGGTGTCTAAACACCATAAGGGTTTTGATCCTTTGGGTTTTTGAGGATCATCCCTAGAAGTTTCCGAGGTGATGAGTCTTCATGGCCCCAAGTCATCGGGTCACCAAACTTGAGTTCAAATATGGTAAGAGATATCCCTCCAACATGTTCATAATTATGATAAGTGTAAAGTGGAATAGAAACATGGTTGGCTTCAACCACAGTATGAAATTATATAACTGAATTTTTAGAAAATAAATTGTATTTATCACAATGAATTATCTAAACTCATATTCCAAATTTCACAACCTATTTTCTTTAAAATTTCAAATGGAGAGTAAAATTTGTAAAAATTGAATTGTAACTGCACAAAGCACTATAATGTTTGCTAATAATAGGTACTACGATCATGGTGTAACTATAGCACATTCAAAATATTTACCATAGTTGTATGCATATGTCTAACTCTTTTCAGCAAAAGTAAATGCATCATTCCCAAAAAAAGAGAGCAAAAGCAAAAGCAAATACATTTATGCACAACATAGCATGTAACATAATAGTGGCTAATATTGAAGCATCACCGATCAAGGCTTCTATAAAGAGCTTCCATTTGCAACTCAAGATATCCATTATTTATTGGTTCTACATAAACCCTTGGACAAACAATTCTATACTTTCGTTTGTAGCTGCCAAGAGAAGTCTCATATCTTTGCCACCCATCACTCATGTATCAACCTTATCCATGGTGTTGCTCGAGGAGGTAGTCATGAGAAGACTTCAATGCCCCAACATGGAATACATAATCCCTTGGCAAAGATGAGCTAGGAAACATCTAAAATGCGAGACATCACCTTGAGCAAAAACCATTACAGTAGGGCAACAATTTGTTTTATGGTTTTGTTTACACCAAAATTTGGGAGAAGAGCGCGGGAACTCGCAAGCTTCCAAGATTGTGCCAATCAAGGAGTCGATCGTGTAAAGATTGATATATGCCGGTTCGGATGCAACACTGGGATCGGTTCTCTTTAAATAACGTCAATAGATAACGATGATTGGCATCGAGAAAGATACATATCGGACTCTACAAAAGGGGAAAGATTGGAGTCCAAGTTATCTTAGAATAGGAATGTTTTCTTCATACCAAAGATTGTATCAAGTCGTACTTGAGTAAGATTCGTGCTTAGGCTCCGGGTATAAATAATGAACCCCAGCTATTGTAAAAGACACACAATCAATCAAATACAAGTTATTTACTTTTTTTGGCTCCGGCCACCTTTAGGAGTAGGAGTAGTGTAGATCTCGATGAGTTCGTCAGCAAGTACGGCTGCATCGATCCAGTCGACCTCCACTGCTTGTCTATAAGTACCGTCATGGCTTATACCTCTGTTCGTACGGCTGCATCGATCCGGTTGACCTCCACTGCGACTCTGGTATAAGTTAGTTATCGACTCTTGTCTAGTTCAAGTACGGCTGCATCGATCCGGTTGACCTCCACTGCTCGAACTAGATTAAGGTCAAATTATCGGCTCTATCTAAGGGTGGCATTCCTTCGGATAGATTCATTAAGTTACCGATATTGCTTATTGCTTCCATTATTTATTTAATTACAACAATATCACTTCGTCCGATTGGGATTGATCTAGATCAACCTTATATCCTTTTTAACCCATCGCTTGTTAATCTAAATTGATCTAATCTGCACTTTAAACGATGAGTTATGTTTTATCGGCTGTTTTATATCAATCTTAATCGTGCATAGCGTGCGGTTAAGACATGTTTGATCTTAAGTAGATCTGTTGGCTAGCGAAAACTGTTCCATGGCCCGTTATCACGCCCTGTGTGATTCTGCCTAACACCCCACTGTTAGCACCGTGGAGCGAGGATCGTTATTTGGTAGATCTATTTCTGAGAGGGCATGATCTTAACTGTGCGCTATGCCTGAATCGGTTGTTTTAGCCGATATCGAGTGCTTTCATGAACAGTTCACGTCATGAGATCGTTGAAGTAGCTATGGGTTGAAAGATGTGTTAGCCCCATGATCTTATTATTGTATTATGACCTGCATGATTCTGCCTCATGTCCCACTGATATTGGTAATAAGTTAGGGTCGTCGAGTCTATTGTTGTTTCTACGACCTACATGATTCTACCTCATGCCCCACTAGTCATAGCGATAGATAAGATCTAATATGCTCATTAGATTTATCTCTATTAAATGGTTGAACGATGATGAACTATTTCTTTTATAAAGGGGTTCGGTTACTTGCAGTCATTGGCTCTGTATAAGCTAATTATCGTTAACATCTTATTGCCATTGACCAATATTTGTCTAAAGAATGATATTCATACTGAACGATAACCGATTCTTCTTACACAACCCCATGAGGTTTAACCAATTTATTCTGATGAATATGCTGGAATCGACTATTTAGTCGATCTCCTTTCATATCGGCTCTTAGAGCCGCACATTCGGGACTGTCTGGCAACACCAGCATGTTCCGCCCTAAATTACTGATAAACTTTCTCTCCTTGTCAATTGCAGGGTCAAATTGACTGACATGTCTCGGGAGTAGTGTGCATGATCA